CTTGTTGGAATCTGAAACTCTCCAAGTGGGACTTGGCCTGTACTCATTCACTCGCTCAACAACTATCGAGTGCCTCTTGGGTGCTAGACCCGGGAGGTCCCACAGCGGTGCAAATGGGTAGGCAGCTGTCCACTGAACCCGAGGTTGGCTGATCAGGCCCTCGCAGAGAAGCCTAGGGAGAAAGGTCTGGCAGTCTGCTTCTGAAAAGCCCCGCCCTGAGCCCCTGATGGAGCACAGCTCTCTCTGCACACACGGGGATGGGCACGGCACAGAAGGGACGCCAAGGCTGCCACTGGTTTGGTTTTGCTTTGGGTTGGGCACAGAGAGAGGAGTTCGCACAGGAGCCGTGCCCACGCCTACCTGCCTGGAACTCTGCACATCACGTCGGTTGAAATGGGTTGTTGAGCTGGGAGGCCATGGTTTGGAGTTTTTATGACGGGGCAGTGTGGGGACGCAGGGGCGTGGTTGAGGAGGCTGCGGGAGGGAGGCTGCAAGATGGAAAGGGCTGGAGGAAGGATTTGCTGCTTCTCAGAACAGTTTTCCACTTTCAGGCCACTTCCTGCTCTGTAAGCCAGGGTGGGTCAGAGGGCGTAAAAGTTGTATGAGAAAGAATCTCTATCCTCTAAATAAATCAATCCCAGAGCAGCCCTGCAGAAGGGTCACGTTCAGTTCCTAAGAGATTGAGGCTATCACCCAGCCTTCCTGCGGTGGCTGTCCCCACACTTCCCAGGGCTCAGTACCACCTGCCCACATACATTGGCAAACACTGCGCGCACACACACACACACACACACTTCAGGTCATTCACTCTGAGAGCAAACAGGCACCTTGGATGCGATGAGTCAGGCCAGTCTAGGACCTCCCTGGGAGGCAGAACAGCCTTACAGCCTCAAATCAAGTTGGAACCAGATCCAGAGGTCCTACAAAGGAGGTCCTACTAAGTGCAGCCAAGAGTGGATGGAGCCCCTCTTTCTCTTGGCTGCTTAATAAAGCTCGGTGAAATGAATGAATGATGTCGCCTAGACAAGCAGTTTTCATCTTGGGGTCCTCGAATGGCTTTCTGGGGGTCCTTGAGCCTCCGGGAGTCGTGTGCAATCGTGTGTGTGAATTTTTCTGGTGGGAGAATCCCTTTCTTGTGAATCTCGTTAAGACGTGTTGATAACCTTGTCTGTGTCCTCCATAAAAGCACATCTAGCCTCATGCCGCACGGTTCGGTAGCCGCTAGCCACCGTCGCTATCTGGAATAGCGACAACGAAGTAGAATTCAAAGTCCAGTTCCTCCTGTGTTCAGCCAGATGCTCAGGGGGTGCGAGTGGCAGTGGCTGCCACGTTGGTTGGAGCTTCCCCCCACTGCAGAGAGGTCTGTTGGCACAGCTGCTCTGGAGCCTCTGGGGTGCTCGGTGGTTTTCCTTTCTCTACACCCACTGAAAGGAGCCCTCATGCCACTGTGAGATAAGCATTAGACGGCTAACCCAGGTAGGCGGTTCAAACCCACCAGCTACTTCTCATAAGAAAGGGGAGACTGCTCCCATAAAGAGCTGCAGCCTCGGAAACCTGAGAGGGGGTCTCCATGAGTTGGCATTGGTGGTTTAGACCAACCAAGAGCCAGTCTATCAGATGTCCCTAGAAAGTACTAGGCAATCATCCTTCTACCCCGTGAGAACCAAGTGTCGTGTGTAGAAATAGATTTGATTGTTTGGAGATGAGACCAAGGTTCTATCAAAGGAAACTCAGGCTTAGAAGAAGTTCAGGAGGGAAAAAATCAATGAGCACAAACTGGGAAAGTAGCAGGGATCTTTTGTTTATAGTGATGGTCAGTAGGTCGGAAAGTTGTCAATATTCCTAGAGGCAGCACTATATTTGAGATGAAAATTTAAGTCCCTTCTCTGCAAAACCCTCTCACAGTACTGAGACACTGGTTTCCGCTGTGTATAAGTCATGCCCCTCCTTCGAATAAAACTCCCTCCCATCCAGTCAGTGCCTACTTCCAGTGACCCTAGAGGACCGAGAGGAACTGCCCTCTCTGAACTTCTGAGACTGTAACTCTTTACAGGGGTGGACAGCCCCATCTTTCTCCTGAGGAGCGGCTGGTGGTTTCGAACTGCTGACCTTGTGGTTAGCAGCCCAGTGCATAACCACTATGCCACCAGGGCTTGATCCTCTGTTCCCTAATAAACCTGTTGTCTGCATCATTCTGACCACAGGAGCAAGCCTTCAGTGATCTGGGAGCCAGATGCAAGGGGTCCCGGCATGAGGAAGTCATCCAGCGTCAGAAAAGGGCCCTATCTGAACTTCGAGCGCGAATTAAAGAACTTGAGAAGGCCTGCTTGTTGAGTAAGTGTCTCTGGTGGTGCGGGGTTTAAAGCACTCATCTGTGAACCAAAGGGTGATAGTTCAAACCCACCAGCTTTCATAAAGGTCATGCCTTGGAACCTCTATGGGGAAGTTCCACCCAGTTTGAGAGAGAACGCTGTGAGCTGAACAGCAATGGATTTGGGTTGGGATTTTTCTTTTCCTCTCTCTTTGCTGCTAACCATAAGGTCAGTGGTATGAATCCGCCAGCCACTCGATGGGCGAAAGATGAGGCTGTCTATGCCTTTAAATATGTAAAGTCTCAGAAACCCAGAGAGGCAGTTCTACTCTGTCGCTCTGAGTGGGAATTGAGTGGGCGGCAGTGGATTAGGTTTTGATTCGTGCTGAGAGCAGTGGGCACCTGACTCTGGGGGGGTCACTCGGGGGACAGACCAGTTTGCCAGGAGTCCCTTCCTGTATCCCCACCATCCCATCACAAAGGGGGCAATCTGATGCCAAAAGGTGGGCAGGACCTGATCTCACAGCACTTGACTAAGTGCTGCCCTTGCTTCCAAACAGTTCACTGCATGATCCGTATTTGTCTCACTTTGCCCTGTGGAAACTTCACCGAGGACCTACACCATTCACAAGTGAACACTGGGGTACATTTTAGGATGGGCTCTTTAGAAGAGAGGTGTCCCTGAGTATTGCAAACAGTGAAGCCCTTGAACACACCCAAAGGCCCCGCAGAAGAAAGCCCTGGTGCCCTATTTCTGAACGGTCCCAGCCGGGGAAGCCCTATTCCCACAGTGAGAGCCGGAAGTCAGAGCCAACTTGAGGGCTGCTGGGTCTTGCCTTTTTCTGAAAAGCCGCAGCTATGATGATTGCATGACATAATTTCTTACTGGTCCTTCTTTTTGAGCCTACCTTGTTTCTCCTGTAGAGCATAACGACCGACTAGATGACCCCTATCTAGAATTAAAGACTTTCAGAATGGAAAAGAATGTCCAGAAAGTATTATTGGATTCCAGAACTGATTTTCCAACTCTCTCGAGGATAGAGAACCGAGGGGTAAGCAAACCTGGAGAAAGTTCGGGTGCTGCAGCTGCCTCTGCAGTGGCTCCGTGTGCCAAGGGTGGGCATGAGGGTTGGTGCCTGGGGTGTGCCCTGACATGGCTGTGCTACTGGGGGTTCAGGGCCCGGGCCTCCCTTTGCCCTGGCCAAACCCCCTGTCCAGAATTTGAATAGAGAGATGCCTACTGTATAGAAGCCCTAACAAAGAGCCATGGCCAGGACGCCCAGCAGGGTGACTTAGAACAGAGGCCATGGGTTTGCTCGGCATTTGCTTTTTGTGGAAAACTGAAAACCAGGAAGGCCCAACAGGAGGGAGCCATGAGTCAGAGGACAAGGGTTCTAGAGTCAGGGAGGCCTGTGTCCAGAGTCCAGCTCTGCCAGCTGAGAGTGGCCTCGGGCAAGTCTCTCAACCTTTCTGGGCCACCACTCCCCAGCTGCCAAAGGAGGATGAAGAAACTAGAGGCGTCTGTGTAACATGCCTAGCCTGGTGCCCAGCTCATAGGGCGCATGTTATCAACGGTGACAGCTGTTCTTCAATATTACCATTTATGTATCCTTACTCAAGAAAACCTGCTCTCATCGGGGGGCTGTGTGGCTTTTTACGTGCCGGGATTTTTTGAAGTCATTCCGTTCTCAGGTGGATGGGTGTCTGTGTAACACATGATGATCGACAGCTCAGGTCTGCTCCAACCACAACTAGACATAAACCATACGCCGGCTTTTAAAAGAGATATCAGAGCCACCCTGTCTATAGCGGCATTCCCTCCAGCCTGGGGGCCCTAGGAAATGTGTTGGTTTTCTTGATCAAGACAAACATTCTTTTTCCAGGGTTATGAGTATCCCATTTAGGAGGCCAGGGGACTCGGCACTTGGTACCTTCCTCTTGGTGAGGACCTTGTGCCCACCACTGACACCCCATAGCAAGAAGCCTCCTGGCTCTTTTGTAACACCCCTTCCTCCAAGGTTGGCAATTAAAAAGGGGGGGGTGTCAGAATTAATTCAACT